GCAGGCTTCCTTATCATCTGTCTTTTTAATTATGAAGCAAAATATTTCTAGGCCTTTTCTTCATCTCCTTTTGGCCCAATCAAAGCACTCACCTCCTGTCTCATTAACCAACCTGGAGCCCTTCTGTAACCCTAGTCCAGTGGGATTACCTTGCTTGGTGATTGGGTCCAGCCTCTGAGATATGTGTGAGAGCCCTCCCCTTCTCCCTCACCCAGGGCCACGTGTGGAGGGGACAAGGTTTATCTCTTCAGGAGAGGAGACTCCACAGCCAGGTGGCAGCTGGCAGCCTGGTCCTCAAGGGCTCCAGAGAGGCCGCTCGGTGCTGGTGCGGGCCAGGGACAGAAACAGGTGCTGCCCCGCCCTTGGGCAAGGAGGGGCCACCTACGGCCCTGTGCAGCTGAGATCAAAGCTGGCACCTGGCCCGGCGGTCGCCGTCCCGTCCCCCACTCATCACCTGTCAGGGCGGCCGCTTTGTGCTTCTGCCTGAGATACTCAAAACACTGCCAGCAGAGGCTTCGGGTTTTTTTAAGCTAGATATATATTTTTTTTAAAGTGCAAATATTTCCTCCAAAGCTGCAGCTTTTCTCTCCGGGAATCTGTGGTCCGGGGACCCGGGAGCCCGCCCCATGCCCCTCGGCCCAGCTCGACTTGGCCAGCCTGGGGAAGAGGCAGGCGTGGCACCAGCCGCTCCCTGCGTCTTCCCTCAGCCTGCGGGGCGGCCGGGTGCCCCCTCCTCCATCTTCTCTCTAATTAAAGCTTGCGTCTAATAAGCAGGCGAAGCCCAGTGACTTCTGAGCGTTCAGTCAAGCTGCCGGGACATCATGTGGGCTCCAGCCGCGGCCCGTCCCTCGATGTCCCCAATTACCAGACGGCTCACTTTCGGCTGAAACTTGTTCTCCGCAGATTTCAAACGCCGCCTACCCTCCACCCTCCAGCTTGGCCTTCACACTCTTAATGAAACATTAAAACCTCCCCGCCCCACGTCGCCGTGGTCCCCACCGCCTCGGAGCCGGTCCACGGCTTCCCTGCAGCCCAGCCGCCGCCTCGTCCGTGTCTGTCCCCGTGCGTGGCAGTGGCTGCTGCGGCCCCAGCGCCCGGGAAGCTGCTGTGATGTGTCTGTGTTCAAAGAGGAGGAGGGCCGTGTTGTCTTTTCCCACCTCGGAGCGCTGTGGCTGCCTTTTAAACTTGAAAGATCTGCGGGGTCCTCTGAAACAGAACAGTGTCGAAAAGAGGGTTCTAGAAGGAGAAGGCCCCGCGCTTTGGAGATCGGGGCTCATTAGTGGGGTGGGCTGGGCGGGAGCAGGGGCGGGAGCACCCACGGGGAGCAGCAGCGATTGAGTCTCCTGGCCCAGCTGCCGGGACGCTGGCACAGCAGAGCAGGCCGCAAGGCTGTCGATCAGGGGTCCCTGCGTGGCCAGCAAGGTGGACACCACTGGGCAGGGCCGGGCCCCTCCCACCCCTCCCCTTCCCCCTTCTCGCCCAGTGCACTGGAAGACAAGGTGACCCTGCTCCTGTGGAGGGGACACCTCCCCCAGTCTCCTGTTCCAGAGTCCCCGGGTGGCTCCTGGCTGCAGAGCCTGCGCCCTCCTGCCCGCTGTCTCCCTTTGGTTTCCTTTTTCCTGGGTGCCCATGGTCAGTTAGAGCCACAGGTGTGCAGTGGGCATGGGAAGGCAGATGACAACACCCTGTACCGTGCCACCTCGAGGCTTCCCAGAATCTTCTGGTTTGACTGTCTCTACTTCCCGCTAGACCCTCGTCCTCTGTCCTCCTCTACCCACCTGGGCCCCACTGTCCACCCCCTGCCCGTCTTTGAAGATGACACCAGGACTTCATCTGCATCAGGCTTTTCCAGCACTGGAAGGAAGAGCCCAGAGGCAGAGCCCGGGAGGAGCAGCGTGTCCTGGGCACAGCTGGACTCCCTGCCTGCTGCCTATGGACCTTGGTGCAGGACCGACCTCTCACTGCTCTGTCTCCTCATCTGTAAGGGGCACAGGCGCCAGGGCACACAGCGAAGACCATCAGTGAGGAGCCAGCACACACACGCCCTGGGCTGTGGGCTGGGTCAAGTGTCAGGCTGCCCTGCTCCGGCTATTTTTTTTTTTTTCTTTTTTGAGTCAGGGTCTCACTGTCCTTCAGACTGGCCTTGAACTCATGGTGATCCTCCTGCCTCAGCCTCTTCAGTGCTGAGATTAAAGGCACGCACTACCGTGCCTGGCGGTGCGAGCCTGGATATCCTCTGAATCTGTCCAGGGTCTTCGTGTGTGGAGGTAGCTGACAAGAGCACCCCTGATGGGCTGCGATAAAGTCAAGTGAGGACAGCCCAGCCACAACCCATGGGTGGCTGCCGTGTGCTCGGAGCCTTCTCCTGACCTCTCCCCCTGTGCACTGAGCCTGCACCCTTGTCCAGGGAGACCCTGCCGTCGGGCACAGGTCCAGCCACGGAAAGGGGGTCCTACTCAGGCTCCTGGACCAACCCCAAGGAAAAAAGGGACGACGGGCACAGGTGACCTTGGATGCCCCCCTTCTGCGCCTAGGGGCTGCATCTGGCCATGAGTCCCCTGCTGACACCCAGCACCCGAACAAGCTGTCTTCCCAGAGCTGAAGAGGCAGGGCCAGGGCCAGCGGTGTGCTCAGTAAGGCTTCAGGTGAGCCCTTTGGATCCAAGGGCTGTCTGTGTTTGTGGGCACTTGTGTGTGTGTGTGTGTGTGTGTGTGTGTGTTTTCTAGCTTTCTAAGTTAAACTTGATGCTTGCCTAAAATACTGCTGTTGACCTAGGGCCCTTCAGCTAATGTGGCAGAGAGTGACAGAGACAGACAGAGACAGAGATAGACAGACAGACAGAGACAGAAGGACTACAGAAGCAGTTGATGGGCCTGGTCATCTGCTCACCATCAGGTGGGCCCCGCCTGACTCAGCCCTGTGAGCGACTGGACACCTGCAGATGTGGTCACCGTTGCTGTGGGATACCACCGCAGCACACCGAGTCCCGTCCTTGTCACTGAACACACCTTTCCTTAGGACTGGATTTAAAGCCTGCACCCCTGCACGTGGGCTCCCCCAAACTTCAGAATCGGAAGCCCACGGGGTCCTGTGTGGCCTGCAGGCTGGCGTCAGCGGGCTGATAGCGTCACCCTGCTGGATTGGCAGAAGCTCCACACCTCACGTGATCTGTGCACGCACACACAGGTGACTATTTGTGCAGAGCGGTGCCGGGGGCGTACGGGTGGGAACCACTGACAGACAGGTTTCTACCTGTGAGCGCGGCAAAACCTTTACCCACTGCGTCTGGAAGCAGGGAAGGTTTTCTGGATTCTGCGTTCGTTCATTCACTCTGCCAGCTTGCAGGGTTCTGGTTTCTGGGATTTGACCCTCCCCAACAACCTCTGGGATGCTCCGGCCAGCTGTGAGCACCTTCAGGCCGCTGAGCCGGCCCCACCCCCTGGAGCCCTTCGCACCCCTGGCCTGGCTGGCACAGGCTGGGCTCACGTCACCTCGTCCCACAGCTGCCTGCCAAGTCTTGTGAGTGACAAATGCATAGGGTTAAGAGGGACACAAACAAGAAGGGCACGACCCCATGGACAGCCTGGGCCATGCCATATGGACACCAGAGGGGCCGAGCACCATGCCTTCCCCACTGTCCACCTTCCCCGTGCTGGAGAAAGACTCAGGACCATGCACAGACTTGTCACCCTGACCAGACCTAGGACCTGGCCTGTGCTCCCAGGCTCTGCGCTGCTCTGCCTGATGTCACTGACCCCAAGGTCAGCTGAACCTGACTGTCCCGTCTCAGTCTCCTGAGTGGCTGCCTCCGCTCTGTACAGGGCTCACAGCTGGGAAGCCAGGTTCCTGGGTGTGCAAGGACATTCCCAGAGGAAGTCTGTCTGCAGCTCGGTCCTCCTGTCCAACCACCGAGCATCCCAGAGGGTTCCACCCTCACATAAACTCGGAATCCTGGGATCACCCTGCCAGCCTTGAAACCGCCCATTTCCATTCCCAGGCAGAGCCAACTAGAAACCTCCAGCTATGCCTGGGTGTGCGGGCAACCACCCAAGACGTGCCCTCAACCCGGGGTGGGGATGGGGACACAGGATGTGGTCTGCCCCTCCCCACAAGGGGAGACCACAGGGCACAGAGGCTCGCAGCAAACTAAAGAGCACCTTTTATTTTTTAATAAAATAGTGGCGCGTGAAAATATCCTGTATCACAAATCTGCACAGGCAGGAGTCACCCTTCGCGGCCCGGGGAGGAGCCTGCTCCACGAAGTTTGTCTTCTGGCGCACATTTCTTCATCTATTCCTGAAACCATTTGTTTAACAATAGCCAGAGTCAATAAGCCCTTTGGGTACTGCTGAATGATCCTCCTCCCTGCTCCCCTCCTCCCCAAACCCGTCCAAATGTGTAGAACACTGGCTTGGTTTCCATTAAAAGCCACAGAATGTGACGCTAAAGGGTTTGCCAGGCCGGGCCTCCTGGTTCTTTTGTTAGCAGAGTTCTTTTGTTGTCTTTATGTACAGCAAAACCCTTGTTTCTCGTTTTATTTTTACGAAGAGAGAAGAGAAATGTATTGCACATCTTTTGGAGCCTGCGTACTCGGCTTGGGGAAGAGGCCTGGCTTGCGGAGAGGCTGTGTGCGAGGCTGGAGTCTGTTTTACGGACCCAGGGCCACTGGAGTGTGAAGCCTCGCCGGGGACCCTGCTTTGTCCTCACACACACTGTGACACAAGCAGCCTCCGGGGTGGGGCTGGGAAGGCTCCCTGCTTACCCAAGGGGAGAGCTTATGGGGCGCTCACTGTGAGCCCCTCGCCAGGCCACCCCAACACACAGATGCATCCTGGGGGTCGGTCTGGAAAGTGTTCCTTTCCAGTCGGAACCAACTACTCCACCCCAGAGGAGCTCGGCAAGGGGCCGTGGACCAGGAAGGAGCCCCTGCCTCAAAAGCCCAGCAGAACAAAACCTTCCGAGCACACTTCCTGCTCCCGAGCACCGCGGCATCCTGAATGTCAGGGTGGACACTTTTTATTTCTCCATATTTTTTTAAAAAACTTTTATTTAAAAAAAACACAAGCAACGTCCCAGCACGGGCCGCGCCTGCCCAGTACCCACCCTCTCCCCTCAGACGCAGGCAGGCGGCTGCACGGGGAGCTCGAACTTCCCCAGGTGCGGTTTCTGGGGGTGCTGGGCTTTTTTGTAAATCCCCCCGCTGGTGATGACGCTGGCTGGTTTCCTGCGGCTCTTCCTCTTCAGCCTGCGGCTGCAGACCTGCTGCCAGGACTGCAGGGTCTTGGATGTCCAGATCCACACCCCGCTGGTGATGCCCACCACCAGCAGCATGGACACCTTGACCATGAAGACCTCCACGGCGGGGATGGAGGCGGCCATCAGGCAGTCCAGCGTCTTGGTCCGGTTGTCCACGCGGCACCTGTGCTGCGCTGCCAGCGCCTTCCAGTGCTCCATGTTGAGGCGCTCGTAGAAGTAGCAGGCGATCACACAGGTGGCCGGCACGGTGTAGAGCAGGGAGAAGACGCCGATGCGCACCATCAGCTTCTCCAGCTTGTCCGTGTTCTCCCCGCCCGTCTTCATCACTCTGCGGATGTGGAACAGGGCCACGAAGCCCGACAGGATGAAGGACGTGCCGACCACCAGGTAGCAGACCAGCGGCACCAGCACGAAGCCCGTCAGGGCGTTCACGTCCATGCTGCCCACGTAGCACACGCCCGTGAGCTCGTCGCCCGCCACCCTGCGCATGACCAGGATGAGGATGGTCTTCACCGCCGGGATGGCCCAGGCGGCCAGGTGGAAGTAACTGCTGTGGGCCTCAATGGCCTCGTGGCCCCACTTCTTGCCGGCGGCCAGGAACCAGGTGAGCGTGAGGACCACCCACCAGAGCGAGCTGGCCATGCCGAAGTAGTAGAGCACCAGGAAGACCAGGGTGCAGCCCGTGCTCTCCAGCCCCTCCTGGATGACGTAGGGCTGGCCGCTGTCCCTGTCGCAGGCGATGCTCTCCGCGCCTGCGAACAGCCGGATGATGTAGCCCACGGAGTACACGCAGTAGCACATGGACAGGAAGATGATGGGGCGCTCGGGGTACCTGAAGCGCGCAGGGTCGATGAGGAAGGTGAGGACGGTGAAGGAGCTGGAGAAGAAGCAGAGCACTGACCACACGGCCAGCCAGACCACGGCGAAGCGCTTGTCTGCGCGGCTCCAGTACACGTCCACGCCGGGCGTGCACAGCGGCGCGCACGACGCGCTCTTCTCCACGTGGTGGAACTTGCCCGGGTTGTCGCAGCCTGCGCGCCCCGCGGCCCCGTCCTGGGCCGGGTGCTCCTGAGCGCCGCCACCCGGGGGCCGCTGTGGCCGGAAGAGCGGAGGGAAGAGGCCGGCGCCGCGGCTGGGCTCGTCGGAGCCGTTGCTGGGCGCCTCCATGCACAGGTAGTTGGGGTCGTTCTGGCTGGGCAGCCGGCTGCAGTCCAGCGAGTCGGGCCACCTGAAGTGGAACTGCTCCATGATGGGCGAGCACTTGAGCCGGGCCTGCTCGCACATGACGCGGCAGGCGGGGATGGGCGCGGAGACCTGCTCGGTGCACATGGGCGCGTAGAGAGAGCACAGGAAGAAGCGCAGGTGTCCGTGACAGCCGTATTCCACCAGCGGCGCGAACTCGTGCAGCCGGATGGCCGCCTCGCGTTGGTTCTCGTGGCCCATCAGGTTCGGCATGCGCGTGCGGTTGTAGCCGATGTCCTTGCACATGGGGATCTCGATGGGCTGGCACTGGCCGTCGCCCGCGCGCTCCAAGTCCACCGAGCCGATGGCGGCGCACGAGCCCAGGACGTGCAGCGCGAGCCACAGGCGGGGCGCTGGGCGCGGCATGGCGGGGTCCCGGGCGCCCCCGCGGGGACGTCGGCGCCGCTCACCGCCGCGGCCCGCGCGCTCCAGCTGCCGCGCGCCCTGGCCTGGCGCCCCGGCGCAGGCCCCCGCCCATGCCCGCGCGGCCCGGCCCAACGCGAGGGCGCGGGGGAGGGGAGCGAAGTTTGCAGACAATACCGGGAAGCGGGCGGCGGGCGCAGTGCGGCTCCGACTCCCGCCGCCGCCGCCGCCGCTGCAAACTTTGGCCTCTTCCCGGAGGCGCGGGCGCGGCTACAGACAGAGGGGGCGGGCGGCGAGGGCGCGCGGTGGCCCGGCCAGCACACTGCGCCCCCGGCCTCGCCGGGCCCCGCCGGCAGCCGTGACGAGGTCCGCGTCCCGGGATGAGCCTCCGCGCGCACGGGCAAAGGGGAAAAGAGCGGCGCCGCAGGACCCGCCCCCGCCCCGCCCCGCGCGCTTTGCATGAGAAAGCCGTGCGCCCCGGGCGCCCCGCGTCCCGACGCCCCGCCGGGCCAGGCGCGCCGCCTCGACTTGGCCTCCCTTCCCTGGGTCCCGAGGCCCTCGAGACCGTGCCCCGCACCCCAAGGACGCCCAGGTTACGGGAAGTTCGGGGGCCGCAAATGGGGGCGATCCGCGGGTGGGCGCAGGGTGGGGGCGCATCCTCTCCGACTTTTATGATGGATCCCTGGCAGAGTGCGCTTTCAAAGAGAAGGGGGATTTGCGTTTTATGGCCTTGGCCATAAAGTGGCCCCTTGGCTTGTAAACCTGCCTGCGTCGTCCGGGGCCCGGGTGACCAGCCTGGGGCGCGCGGTCCGGCTCGGCTCCGGGGAGGGCTTGGCTTTGAAATTTCAAAGGGATCGGGAGGGGCAGGGAGGGCTTCAGGCCCGGATTTAAGGCCGAGGTCCCTCACTAGGAGGCGGGGAGGGCGGGGGCTGGGAGACCTTCCGGGCTTGGGACTCGCGCCCCCCTGCGCCCCCCACCTGGCGTCCGGGTCACTTCGCCACCTGCCCGCTGCTTGCGTTACTTGGCGATGGTTCCGCGCGGCTGGGCGGGGCGTGGCGAGGCGAGCAGGAACCCAGCTCTCTCGGAGAAGGAATTGGAGGCCCGCGGTCCACACCCACCATGCAAGAGCCGCGGGGCCCCAGGCTCTGTGTCCCCCATCGTGGAAAGCCACTCGGGACGCAACGCCCCCCCCCCCCAGCGCGCAGGGCGCGACACAAGCGCCCTGCACCCGGAATGCACAAGGGTTTTGACAGCTTCCCGCACTAACTCTTGGATAAACAGTCCCCAGGTGTCCTATAGTCACCCCGGAGGCCAGGCCTTTGAAGTGCCTGGGAAACTCCCAGGACCACCTGTGGAGAGGCGAGGTCAGGGGCCCAGCGCACCCAGCTCTGGTCCTGCCGCGCGCCCGCCCTGGCCCGGGAGGGGTCTCCACCCACAGCGCTCACCCGCGCCGCCCCGACGGCTCCTCCAGCTGTCCAGGGAAGCGCCCAACGCGGTGGGGAGCCGAGCACTTCCTGAGAGGACCCGTTTCTAATTAGCGCAAGGCAACAACCTCAGCCGAGCAACCTTCCCTTCCCTCCCCAGAGGTGGGAGCCCGCGATTCGCTCAGGGCCCAGCGCGGTGTCCTTGACCCCTGGGAGCCTTGGGTGAGGGCCAGGAGGTCAGGCCAGGTGGAAGCCTGAAACCGGCAATGGTTTGGTAAAATCTACTTCGCTCTGGCCTGGCGAGCTACCTTTGCAAACCTCCAATTTAGAAATGATTGCGCAGATGGTACTTGGCGTTTCTAGAATTTTCCCCGCGAGGGTCCGCCGAGTCCCCTGTCCCTTCTGTCCCGGTGGTTTCCTTTCCTCCCGGTGCCAAGCCCTGGAGTGGGGTGCCAGGCTTGGAGAGTGTCTCCTAATTGATCTTTTATGCGCTGTTTTCATCCCGCCGTGATCAGGCCTATTATTTTAGGCCCGGCCACTTCAGATTGCTCTCTTCTCTCCTGGTTTTTTTCCTCATCCTTTTCCTTCTTTATAAATGTGTGGGCAGAGTACCACTTCCCCGTGGCCAGCAGAGAGGCAGACCAACAAATAGACGTTATTATCAGCAAACCCGGGCTCTGAGAAGCCAGCCACTGGAAGATAACTCTGTAACTAATAAATGAAAGGGGCCTTTTGATGCTCCAGCTGAAAAGATATTTTATTTTATTTTTTTCCCTGTGTGTGGGATTTGAGCTGTGAGCAGGAGCGGCTGGCCGGTTCCCTGCTGCTCAGCTGGGCCGCGGTCGGTCGGCCTCCCTCTGGCAACTGTTATGGAGAACCGGGGAAGAATTTTATGGCTGCCTTTCCCTCAGCCCTTTTTTCTTTTGTCTTCTTTGAAGAACGACTTTAGACATTTTATTTACATATTTAACCATGGATGAAAGAGGGGAGAGAAAGCATTGGGGTCTGTCATGGGAACAGTGATGCGTTTAAATTAATGGACATCTTATTAGGCCTCTAAGCTTGTGGGCAGAGGTCTCTAACGAAACTTTATAATTAAACACGATTTCCTGTAAGGTACGGGAGGAGCGTTTTTTCCTGGCTTCTGTCACCTAAAAATATCCACGTAGCAGAACCCCTGCCCGGACCCTCACAGGCTCAGGTCTCAGAGGCTGCAGGGCAAGGCCAAAGTTTGTGACCGGAGGATTTCAGGAGCCGGTTTTGGAGGTGGCGGGAGAGGAAAGGGAGCCCCCTTTCCTGCTGTGCTGACCGGCAAGGCCCGAGTGCAAAGTACTTTGACGCGGATCTTGCTGACCATCAAAGTCGCATCTTTGCTTATTATGTAGCCGTCGATGGGAATCATAAGGCCTGGGCGAGGTTTTTTGAAACAGGATTAGAGAAAAACCCAGATAATCTCGTTAAGATAAAGAGTGAACAGCAACTGAACCCTAAGCCCAGGGAGCGAGCTCCAAGCTGACTGTCAGAGGTAAGCAAGGTAGGGAGGGTGGGGTGAGCTTAAAGGTAAAAGGGGTGCTGGCTGCCGGCGGGGGGGGCCTTGGCAGTAGCCCCTGCTCCAGCTAGGAGACTGGCCCTTGCCTGGGACCTGCTGTGCCCTCAGCCCCGGGTCTGAGCGAGGACCTGGTCTCCGCTGCTCGCCGCCTGGTGCGCGGCCTGGCTCCTGACCGGTCTCCTATCAGGTTTCTCCAGAAACTTAGCAGATATAAACACGTACAGGGAGCCCCGCTCTCTAACCCGGGGAGCCTGCCCCTCCGCCACCCCCTGGAAACCCCTCAGCCCTGGAGTGGTGTTTAGTACCCCAGAGGTGGGCAGGTCCCGGCAGATTCAGCAGGCGCAAAAGTTTTAATTACACTGAAAAAGTGCAGGTTGCAGGACGGGGGGAGGGAGAGGGGAGGTGAAATAAACAAAACAAAACAAACCCCAGAACCCCTCCTCCTCGTAAACTGGATGAGCCAGCGCCCTCCGAGGGCCCAACAATTTAGGCTGCTATTTTAAGGCCACTTCCCTTGAGATGTGGATTGAAATATTACCAAAGGTTCCGCGGGGTGCATTCGTGTGAATTGCAAATCAGAGCGTTTCTTTAATCCTCTTTCAAGGCTGGGCCTGGGCTCGCTGGCGTCCGGCGGCGCCCCACTGCTTCTGGCGCAGAAGGGACCATTCAGGGGGCAGCTCCCCTCCTCTATTCCCACACTCCAAAAAACAACACCGCAGACAGACACCCTCCAAGCAAATTAGATTAAACTCCTTCTCCTCCGAGAGCGCTGGCCTTTTACCGCCGGCTTCCTGGGCAGTGCCTCTTCCTTGTTTAAAGACACAGCGCTGCCTTTCCCCAGGCCTGCGGGCCAGGGGCCATGTGATTCGGCGGGTGTGGGGGGCCGCGCACCCCATCTGAGTGCCTGCGAGCCCCAGGGCGCTCTCTGTGCTCTCCGCCTGGGAGCCGAGCTGGCCCTGGACCCGGAGCTGGCCCTGTTCCGAGCATTTGGACCTGCAGCCCTGTGTGTGGCGGAGGCTCACACAGATACCGGGCAAAGGGGAATCTCGGGTCCCAGAGTGAGGGAGAAGAAGGGAGGCCAGAGGGAGGGAGAGTCACCCACATCAGCCTCCTCTGTGCCCTGACTGCTCTGCTCCCCTCTGTCCCATCTGGCCCTCTGTGCCACACCTCTTTCTGGGACCCCTCCCTTGCCCTTGGCTCTCTAGGAGAGAAACCCGTCCACCCCCGGCCTTGCCCCTGCGTGGGTGACTGCAGAGCACCCTGGAGCCTGGCCCTGCCTCAGGGAGGAGCTGCTCCTGCTTTGACCTCCCAAGCGTGGGGTTGGTGGGCCGGGCCCCACCCCAGCAGTGTCTCCCACCACCAGCTGCCATGCAGAGCCATTTCCTGTCTCAGTGCCCCAGTTTTCTCCTGAGAAATGGGGTCGCAGGGAGGGTGACAGGCTGAGGACCCACAGGGACAGGGCAAGGCCGTCCTGGTAGAGCACAGGAGCGGTGTGGACAGCAGGCCAGCACCGTGGAGTGGAGGTGAACTGGGGCAGGACAGGTGAGGGCAGGGGCCGGAGATGCCCTGCTCACACACAGTGACGCAGGCTGGACCTGCGTGGCAGAAGCCACCAGAGCCACAGCTGAAGAGTATGGAGCCCGCCAGGCCCGTCCCCAGCATGTTGGCAGGAGGACACCGTGTAGAGACAGAACACTGCCCTTCTCAGCCTGAGAAGAGACCTGGACAGGGCCCTGAGTGCCAGTCCTCACAGAGGTGTCACCAGCATGGACTCCCACAAAGGGACACCCAGCAGGGGTCACGCAAGCAGCCGGCAGGGGTCCGGCCACTGTCCGGCTTAGGGTGGTTCTGGTTCTGCTGGACCAGCCATGTCCCGCACTCTCAGCACCCCTGTGCTTATCTGGAGGGATCCCACAGGGTGCTGACTGACCTCAGCTGGCCTGGGTCAGGGTGTCCAGGATGGGCTCCCCACGTCCGCCCAGGTGCTTCTCCTGCTGTGGAGTCCTTCTGCTCCTGTCCCCAGCCGGCCCAGGGCCCCATGTCTCCTCCCTCCCCAGCCACCTGCAGCTCTGTGCCGCCTCACACAGCTGGCAGACAGGACAGGGCCTGAGGAGAATGGCCCTGTCAGGGACCCCACGGGGTGCATGAGGGGCGGGGAGGAGAGGCTGTGGCCC